CCGGCGAGGCCTCCCCACCGGGGAGAAGGACTCAAGGGGCAGCGACGGCCTCTGCTCCCCTGACTAGGGGACCCACACGGACACCGAGCCGCGGGTCGGCTCCATCCGGGCCGGGACTCTGTACTCATTGTCCTCTTTGTACATTGTCCTTCCTCGACGCGTCCGTCCCTGCGTGTGCCTCGGTCCCCCGCGGGGTGGAGCCCTTCAGAGCACGTCCGCGGCGGGTTCCCGTCCTGTGCCCCCTCTCCCGCCGTCTCCGGTGCCGTCCGTCCTGGTTTCCCCCTTCTGAATGAGAACGGGGCGTCTTCTCCAGGGTCCTCCTCGTCGCTTAGCTTCTTGGGGTCTGTGGACTTTGGCATGTTCATACTCTACTGCACGTGGCCAAAATCCACTTAAGTGGGACACGCGTGTCCCTCTGCTTTGTAGCCGGGCCTTGGGGCAGAACTGGACGGGTGGGAGGTGGGATCCCAGAGTTGCTTTGGTTCACCTTCCCTTGACGACGGAGGGCTTTGAGCATTTCTTTCAGGGGCTTCTTGGCCATTCGATGATGCCCCTGCGGTTGAAAATTCTCTGTTTGCGGCCCGGTGAGGCTGCACCGCCCCGCCCCGCCCCACCCCTGACCGGGGGGAGGTGATCGGAGCCTTCCACTGAGTCCACGCCAGAGACAGCCTCTTGCTACTTGTTACTACAGACCATACCTGGAGACTGAGCCGCCATGGGTGACGTCTGAGCCAGGGTTTCGGTCCCCTACAAGCGTGGCCCTCGGTGGAGGTATCAATGCCGGACACCATGGCGTCGGTGACCATCTTTTCCTAGTCTCCGGGCTGCCATTCTGTTCTGTCGACAGCGTCTTTCGCCCTACGGAAGCGTTTCGGTCTCGTGAGGGCCCCCATTGACTACTTAAATGCATTTTAGGAGTCGGAGCATCTTTAGTTTGAAAGTTATATGAGATACAGAAGCGCATACACAGACCTAGAGACGCGCGTGTGTCTGTGGAAGCTGTCGGTATAAGAAACCCAAGAGACTCCACCAAGGAGAACGAAATTTTGGCACAGGGTCCCGATATGGCTACGGTGGCCCTGGGACTCTCCATGTACACCAGGCTAGCCCTCGTCCACACGCGTTTATATGTTCATATATATCAAGTTACACACACACACACACACACACACACACACACACACACACACACACATGTCTGTATGTGTATGTATATTACGCGCAGGCGACTGGAGATGCTTGGTATCGAGGCCTCCCAGCGGCCAGGCCCGTGTGGGCCCCGGGTGAGGGCTGGGACGCTCAGTCCTCCAGTCACAAGGTGCCCGGGCTCCCCGGCCCGTCCTCCCGCCCGCGCTCTCCCCCTCTTCCCCGTGGGCTTTCTCGGACCCCATTTCCGGCCTATGCCCGTCCCTCCCTCTCTGCCCTTACCCCCAGCAACACTTCCTACCTTACGCCCTGCTCATAGGTGTTCCTTCTCCCGCAGCTTCCTTCCCTCGAGACACCAGCCCAAGGCTCACTCCAGGGTCTCCTTCCTGGATCTCCCGCCTCTGTCCTGACGGATAACCGTTGAGGTGACGGCAAAGTATCTGCCGGGTGAGTCCCGTCTTCCCACCTCTTCTCCGACTCCCTGTGTGCTCGGCCCTTAGGTGCGAACGGAACCACTTTAGCTCTTTGTGGAAGCCACTTTGAGTTTGCCCTCCCGGTCCACTCCCGGTTCCTTCTCCCGTCCACGGAACTGTAGAACCGCTCACTACCAGGCTCCCACCACAAACAGACTTTCTTAAAGTCCAGGGAGGCCAATGGCGGCGACCAAATCCCGACCAGGGAAACCCAAGGCCGGATAACAACATCTAGAGACACAGTCGTCAAGGCCCCGGCACAAAAAAATAATATAGTCACAGCCAAGGCAGCCCGGCAGGGATTCCTGATCCTATTACAAAAGGCCTTAAAAAATGGAATAAAGCGGCAGCACGAGAGAAGGCGTTCAAGATGGCTACTATGAATATGTTCAGGGACTTTTGAGACTCACGGATTGGCAAAATGCTGGGGAAAAATGGATGCTAAAGTATTACATCCAGGAAATCTGGGATATCATAAAAAAGGCCAAATCTGCGAATGATACACATACGAGAAGGACGGGAAGCTCTGGTCAAAGGTGTAGAAAGTTTAGAATTGTTCTTTCCGGGGCCTGTGAAGAATTTCGTCATTACCTTAATGAGCGTTGCGCTGGGTCTGGAGATGGTTGCTCTCGCTGAGGTGACACCTTTGATTGCGTCAGGAGCACTGACCCGTGGGCATGGACCGTCTTCCCGCCTTCCCGTGTCCCCCTGCGGTGTCTCCCATTAGGAGACCTGAAGTTCCCGCTGTGCAGGTCGTCTCCGACGGGGGGAAAAAAAGAAAAAGACACAGCGTCTTCCGCCAAGGGTGCGGGCATCGTTAGATGTCCGCCGGGGGGGACACGCGGACAGGTCCGTGCTCCTCTCCCTGCACCGAGACGGAAGTTCGGAGGGATCCGAGACCTCCCGAGATCACGCCAGACGCTGTCGCCGACCGGGGGAGGAGGAGGTGGGGGGAGCAGCCCTGGGCCTCGTGGCTCGGGAGGGCTGCGACGTCGATAACTTCAAGGAATTGAAAGGGTTCCGTGAACCCAAGGGGACACTGTC